AGAAAGGAAGAAAGGAAGAAAGGAAGAAAGGAAGAAAGGAAGAAAGGAAGAAAGGAAGAAAGAAAGAAAGAAAGAAAGAAAGAAAGAAAGAAAGAAAGAAAGAAAGAAAGAAAGAAAGAAAGAAAGAAAGAAAGGTGCACTACAATATTTGTTTGTATTTAACTGCTTAAACCCACTTGACTCATTTAACCAAGCCTGGCCTCTCTGTCCGAGGGGATGCCCTCAGGACGGGGCACACCTGGAGACCTCAGGAGGGGCAGAGCTGGTGCGAAGGCTCGGTCCCCCCATCTCCCGCAGCCTCCCGTCCCCGAGCTGGCCCCGAGCTGCCCGTGCCCGGCCGAGCCGAGCCGAGCCGAGCCGGGCCGGGCCGGCCCCGAGCTGCCCGTGCCCGGCCGAGCCGAGCCGAGCCGGGCCGGGCCGGGGGCGCTCCGGCCGCCCCGGCCCCACGCCCGCCGCGCAGAGCGGGCTGCGCTGCGGGACGCTCGGGCTCCAGGGACCTGCCGGGCCCCAGCTCCCTCCCGGGCCGGGGAGAACCGGGAGCCTTCCCCGGGAGGGCTCCGGCGCCGGGAGCGGCGCTCAGCGGAGCCGCCGCGGCCGCCGGGCAGCGCCGGGAGCGCTCCAGGACGGGCTGCGGCTGCCGCCGTTTGTCTCCCGAGCAAACCGCACCGTACGCCACCGTCCAGCGGCAGTGAGAACACAAATGTAGCACAGTTTACAGATAATTTCAAGAAGAAAAGCGCAGGAAAGTATAAATCCCCTGCACCTTCCCTTAAAAAGGGACACGAAGGTAACCTCCTTGTCCTGTGGAGCCTGTTTCCCTGACCTGTACCTTCGCTGTCCTACTGCCTTAGCGGGTGTTGGTGTTTTTTCTTTTTCTTCAAAATGAATATATCTAACATGAATAGCAAATACTTTTTTGTTATTTACTGGCAACCGACTATTCCTGTAAAAATGGTGTTTTTGCAACAGCGCTTCCCAAGGCAGCCTTTTAGCTACAACGAATTACACTGTCATCAGTACAGATTAACTCATTCAAACAAACGTTAAATTGCCCTGACAATACTGCACGGATTTCATATCCCGAATTTAACTCCTGTTAGGAAAATTCCTTCCCCTGTACACAGGTACTCTGTATTGTAACTTGCATTCACACAAATACACACACACAGAACAGCGTGTTGGGTTGAATTCTGAGATTATAAAATTTTCATTAAACCTATCTTATAGGGTGTTTATAGGTATTTTTTCAGCTTCCCAAGAGGAACACAAGGTTATGCACTCTTTTTGCACAAGGCAATCTCACAACAGGAAACTAATCTTGACAAATGACCAGACTTTGATAGCTGTGATCTAAACCACTGCTCGTTAGACCGTTCATTTTATAAACGAATGGTAATAAACCTGTTGGGAAGTGTAGGATAGCAGGAATACTTTACAGATCACCCCTTTACAGGTTTCAATCAAAGCCATAAATTTGAAGGGGAGCACACAAATATTCTGTGCTTAGACAAAGACTATGTCCCACACCAACCACATTTAAAGGAATATTTTTTTTTGCTTTCTATACATTTTAGAAATAATTTGCATAACTCTGGCTTTTTACCCCCATGGCTGATTATCTCCAGCTCTCTTAAGCTAATGTCAAACCTCAAAATCCTTGGATGTGTTAAAGTATGTGGAGAGTGGAAATCAAATGCCTTTATTAGAAGCCGCAGGAAATCTCCAACTCCTAAGCACAACGAAAACATTCCAGAGAAAACCGTTCAAAGAGGACAAAGAAGAAAAGCAGAACAAGAAAACCTTGTTTTGAATCAATGATTGTGGAGTTTTATAAATACATTCTGTTGCCTGGACAATTTTGAAAGACAACTCAATAGGTTTAGGAGTTTTTAAGTGTGTTTGTCTCTATGCCTGGAACACTTGGGGGACTCAGCCAAGCTAAAGCCCAGAACAATGGCCTGTCTGTCCATCAGAGTATTTACAATAAATGCTGTGAAGCAACTTTACAGTACTAGATAATCAAAAAGTCTTTACCAGCCAAAACTGTGTGAACTTAAATTAATTTTGCATATGTACTGGGGCAATGAAAATGCTAAGACATGTCCTGACTTTAACCAGTAGATGAAAATGTTCAGCGGAAGAGGCCATAAAGATTTTATTTGTTAGGATATCCCTGTGAAGGCAGGCTGAATCAGTAATCCTTAGAAACAACCACAGTTACATGATCCACTGTGCCTTCCTGCATGGCACAGCCATCTGGAGTGCAATACGGACCCCTGATTTATTATGTCCCGCGCAGTTATCTCGCAGTAAGTTTGACCCTGCTTTGCTCCTGAGAATCACGGCTCTGCTGTTTACTCTCCTGGTGCCCTGACAACCCACCCTTTACCTTTCTGTGGCTCAGCCAGGTCCTTCATTTCCTCCTGTCTGTGGGCAAATAGATTTTAATTGTTTTATTATAACTAATTTAATCTGTGCTGAGAGATGTCCGTGTGCAGTGTGAAATTTGCCATTTGCATTAAGCGTGGTTCAAGAGGTTTGTTATACAGGACAAAGGTAGAAAAATCGACTAATTCAGTCAGGTTGTTTATTTACTGGGCCTCTGCCATGAAGCAGTAAATAGGAAGTTATTAAGCTGTGTTTGATGTATGCAAGAGGACAGATGCTGCTTCCTACCTATCAGAGACTTTCAGTCATTTCCCTTTCTGTGTTATTCCGACATTATGTGTTGCAGCAACCAGAGCAGATACCTGGATTTTCTTTATTCAATAAATATGCAGGGTAGTGGTCACAGCTTTTGTAAGTACTTTTGGTGCAGTCTCTATGTGTGACGTTTTTCCCTCTGCTGGGACATCCCTGTCGGCCTGCTCTGATGCTGGAAGTTTGCTCCACACTCCTGTGCTACAAAACAAGGTAGATCTAGAGTAAAATATAGTATGTTTTTCACAAAACTGAGTCTTATTAAGAGAAGAAATTAAATTACTAATGAAAGCTAGCTTTACCTTGCTCTTTGGGATAAATTTTTATATTCTTTCTTTAGATGACATAGGATTGGAAAAGCAGCATGCATGGGGTTTTTCCAGCACAGGACTTGAACATTTTTTGTAGTGTCTTACAGTTCATGGGTGCTTATAAAGTGCAAAAACTGTTGCTTGGTTGCA